TGACGCCAGTCCAGCAGACTCCCACCCCGGGAAGAGGCTTCCGGAGTGTTCCAGCGCCTGCCAGGCCTGGCGCGGGCGCCCCAGTGCAGGGGCCGCGCGGAGACAAAGGTAAAAGGACGCAGGACGCCGACCTGGCCGATCCCCGCACCGAGAGAGCGCGACAAGGTCCCTGGAGCCCGCGGCCCCGTCAAGGGCTCCACCGCGCCCCGACCCCCGGGTCCCGTGCCCACCTCTCGGGTCTGCGCTCGGCGCCGCGGTGCTCGGCCTCCTCGGCGTCTTCGGGCCTCCAGCGCCTGCCGTCGGCTCTGCGCTTCCGTCCCAGGCTCCATCGCGCGGGGGACGGCGGGCTGCGGGGAGGAACGCGGTCGGCGGGGCTCGGGAGGTCGGGGACCGCCGTACGACCCCCGTCCCGCAACTTCCGGCCCCGCACGACCCCCGCCCCACGGAGCACGCCCTCCCTCGCCCGCCGCGCAGCCCGGCCTCACCTGGCGTCACCGTCGCAGCGGCTCTGATACCTCGGCGGGCTTCGCGGGCGGCAGGCCATAGCAGCACGCGTCGGGCGCGCAGGGCGGGCCGGGGCCGGGGCTGAGGCGGCGGGGGCGCGGGCCGGGCGCGCAGAGCAGGGCAGGGAAGAACTGGACCTGAGGGAGTGAGCTGCGTCCCCGCGCCGGCGCTCACAACCTCTGCGCGCCCCGCCCCCAACCGCCTTTATATCAGCGCCGGGCCCCGCCCCTCGGCCTCCCGCGCGCGCCGGGTCGGGCGAAACCATCGGGCCACGCCGTGGGGGTCCACTCGGCTGCGCGCGCCTCGCCAGCCGACTGGGGCTGGGACGAGACCTCAGAACCGCGGGCAGCCGCGAAGCCCGACTGCCTGGCGCTCGGCTCGGGAGCCGGAGGGACGCCGTGGGCTGAGGAGAGGCCTAAGGAAAAGGTTGAGCTCCACCCGCGGGATTGAGACGGCCGGGCCGCCGCGGGCCGCTGCGACGCTGATAGGTCGCGCCTTGGCGGGCGGGGGCAGCTTTGGCGGGAGATTCAGCCGCGCGCGACGCGGCGCAGGTTGTGGGGGAAGGGCAAGCGGCGCGTTTCTCAGCCTGGGTCGTGGCGCATCTCCCATTGGTCCCGGCCTGGGGTGGAGCGCGGCTCTGCTTGGTCCCTGCCCAGGTGGGGGCGTGTCTCCTCCCTGGCGGGAACCCGGAACCCGGAAGGCGTGGCTATGGCCAGTACTGACTGCTCCCCACGGTCCCGTGGCCGCTGCAGGCGCGTACCCGCGGTCTGCTGTTTTGAGCCGCTTAAAGTTTTGGAGTAACCTTTTAGGTAGCGATAGTTGACCACTACGCTGAGTCTTTCCGGTCCCACTGCCCTGGCCGTTAGCCGCACACCGGCCACCCACTGAGCCGCTAGTCTCCGCCGCTAGTCTCGGATGCCGCTGCCTCCCTGCCCGCCCGTGACGTCCTCCGCTGTGTCGCCGGTACCTGACGCTCCCACTCTCTGCCTGGAGTTGACTGGACTTGAAGTATCCTGAAGAATCCCTGGCTCAGCAGGGAGGCCCCACCTGGAGGCGAGGTCCTGTAGATCCGCACCATCCGTCCCGCTTCCCCACCGCCGTCACAGTTGCAGCTGATGGCCCCGCGGATCCAGCCAAATAGAACCCCAACAGGGGTACACATACACCTGGGAACAGGTTCCCACAGCTTCCTGTTGGAGACAACGTGAGGGATGCAGGGGAGAGTGGAACCAGCCAAAAGAGTGGGCAGTGGGGTCAGGTCCAGGAGGCTGAGCCCCAGGGATGCTTGGGATCCCTCTCAGGCCCTACACCTTTCGGAGGGCCTGGCTTTTGCACCTGCTGTCCTCAGGACTGTGCCTTGGTGCGCCCACCGCCCCCTTTTGAACTTGAAAAGGTCATCCTAAGACTAGGACAGACACATACTGTCCCTTCCCTCCCCAGGCCCTGGGCATCCCATAACCCTAAATACTGTAAACTAAAAATCCTTGCAGGGCTCACGCTGGTAATCCCAACACTTTGGGAGACCGAGGTGGGAGGATCATCTGAGGTCGGGAGTTCGAGACCAGCCTGACCAACATGGAGAAACCCCGTCTCTACTAAAAATACAAAATTAGCCTGGCGTGGTGGCACATGCCTGTAATCCCAGCTACTCGGGAGGCTGAGGCAGGAGAATCGTTTGAACCCGGGAGGTGGTGGGTCAAGATCATGCCACTGCACTCTAACCTGGGCAACAAGAGTGAAACTCGGTCTCAAAAAAAATTAAAATCCTAAGCCCCCAACAACTGAATGGACCCCCTTGTGGTCAGTGGGACACCAGTGGCAATAAGATACCAAATTATGAATAAGACCTAAGGTCATGCCAGGCAAGGGTTAAGTCACACACCCTACATTTAAACTATATTCTTACTGTCACACTGCTTTTCTTTTCCTCTTAGTAGCTCAACAAGCACTGGCCTTGAGATAAGCAGTATTGAAACAGTGCAGTGGCTGAGATGATGGCTCATGCCTGTGATCCCAACTCTTTGGGAGGCTGAAGCCAGAGGATTGCTTCAGGTCCAGAGTTTAAGACCAGCCTGGGCAACAGCGAGACCCTGTCTTACAAAAAACTTAAACAAAAAGGCTAGGCACTGTGGCTCACACCTGTAATCCCAGCACTTTGGGAAGCTAAGGTGAGAGGATCGCTTGAGCTCAGGAATTCAAGACCAGCCTGGGCAACATAGCAAGACTTCTTTACTAAAAACCAAAAAAAGTAGCCGGCTGTGGTGGTGTGTGCCTGTGATCCCAGCTACTAGGAGGCTGAAGTAGGATTGCTTGAACCTGGGAGGTCAAGGCTGCAGTGAGCCCAGATGGTGCCACTGCACTCCAGCCTGGGCAACAGAGTGAGTCCCTGTCTCAAAACAATAAAAACCAATTTGCAGTTCCACCAGATGCCAACTGATCCCCCAGCCCCTATTCCACTAGCCATAACTACAGGTTTCATTGGAACTACAGGTTTCATTGAGCAAGCGACTGATTTCAGTAACTTGGTCCAGATAAGCGCCCACAGTGATGGACCACTTCTGGCCTGTGTAGAACCTCATTATAATACATTTAAATGTTAAGTCTCCACCCCAAAGTGAATGTGGATTATGTTTGCTCAGGATGCAAGCGTCAGGACTGCCTTCATGAATATTCATAGATCCTGTCACCTGCTGAATATGCATGTTTAGCCAACCCATTCAGCATAAAGCTCCTGCCCCAACCCCTCCTCCTCCTCTGAAGTGCCCGTCTCGGGTCTTGGCCGGAGGCTGTGCTTTCCAGTCTGAGGGATGGCCACCTTGCAGGCTGTAACTTTTTTATTTTTTTGAGACAGTCTCACTCTGTCGCCCAGGCTGGAGTGGAGTGGAGTCTCGGCTCACTGCAACCTCTGCTATCCGGGTTCAAGCGATTCTCATCATCAGGCTGTAACTTTTCAGAAGAAATAAAGTCTCCTCTAAGTTAACAGCACAGAGCCAGAGTCCAAGTGCCTGGGAGCCCTAGGGCCTGGCACACAGTCAGGGTCTGTAACAGCCCCTCAGTAGATGCTCACTAGTCTCTGTCGTTGGTTAAAGCAGTGCCTGGTTGTGTATGCAAAAGAATGCTAGTGAAAGCACCACACTGGGAAGAATCTGAAGACACTGGGAGCGCAGGAAACTAGAGCCCACTGTCACATCTTTCAACAGGATTACGTGCACTATTTCCCCAAGAACCGTCCTGTGAGTCGAGAAGCAGAATGGGGAAAACGGCAGCAAGCACTCACTGTCCAGTTGCTGGGGTGATCACCTGAGGTCCCAGTGCTGTGGGGAACCCCGGGTGCCGCCTTGTCTGCCCTAGGTGCTCAGCTGGCAATTGCTGGGCCACCCTGACCCACAGTGAGGTCAGTAGAGACAGCCTCGTGTCCTCACAGGAGGCAGCTGCAAACATAAGTGAACCGGAAAGGCTGCTCGCCCCTTGGCTACCCACGTGTCCACACATCAGTTCCTGAATCTGGAAGGAGCCACAGTGGTGACCACACAGTGACTTCCCCCAGGATGTGTCTCTGCCCCTCCTGCCCTGCTCCTGCAGATGGCCCTGGGTTGGGGGTTGTCAAGACCCCAGAGTCCTCAAACTAGAAATCAGCGAAGGTTCCTACTGTACCCGCCTCCCAACCAAAGGGTTTTTTCCTCCTTATTCTGAGCAAAGCACGCCATGCGCACAATTCCACCTCTAAGGTGGCTCCTCCAACACCCCCAGGCCATTCTCCAACTATGACAAAAGTTTGGTTTTAATATCGGGCCACACAAAACACAGTACATCACTTCAGAGTACATTTTATTAAATATGGTGTCATTTGGCTACAATAGGTTTGTCTTTATAAAACTAAGTTACTTCTTTTGTAGTAAAAACAACCCCAACCCACTGCCTCTCTTTGGCAGCCCTTAAAACTCAGGATCAGCCGGGCGCGGTGGTTCACACCTGTAATCCCAGCACTTTGGGAGGCCGAGGCGGGCAGATCACGAGGTCAGGAGATCAAGACCATCCTGGCTAACACGGTGAAACCCCGTCTCTACTAAAATGCAAAAAATTAGCCGGGCGCGGTGGCAGGCACCTGTAGTCCCAGCTACTCAGGAGGCTGAGGCAGAATGGGGTGAACCTGGGAGGCGGAACTTGCAGTGAGCTGAGATGGCGCCACTGCACTCCAGCCTGGGCAACAGAGCGAGACTCCGTCTTAAAAAAAAAAAAACAGGCCAGGCGCGGTGGCTCAAGCCTGTAATCCCAGCACTTTGGGAGGCTGAGACGGGCGGATCACGAGGTCAGGAGATCGAGACCATCCTGGTTAATACGGTGAAACCCCGTCTCTACTAAAAAGTACAAAAAACTAGCCGGGTGAGGTGGCGGGCGCCTGTAGTCCCAGCTACTTGGGAGGCTGAGGCAGGAGAATGGCGTGAACCCGGGAGGCGGAGCTTGCAGTGAGCTGAGATCTGGCCACTGCACTCCAGCCTGGGCGACAGAGCGAGACTCTGTCTCAAAAAATAAAAACAAACAAACAAACAAAAAAAACAAATAAAAAACTCAGGACCAAGGCTAGGTCTGGCTCCCAGCCACGGCCCTTGCTGCCTTCACCTGCTGAGTGTTCCAGGAAGCCTCCCAAATCCCAAGGGTCAGGCCACCTGAGTCCATCACCTCTGCGTGAAACAGCCAAGCCCAGGGGCTTTGGGGCCGCAGGTGTGAGGCCCCTCCAGTAGCCACGGCTGTGTCAGGGCTGTGCCTGGGGCCTGGCCAACGTCTCCTCTCCCCTTGAACCAACAGGAATTGGGCAAGACACTCACCCGAGCCTTGACCACATGGGGCGTGCACCCCCTTCTGAGCCTGGGAGACCCTGGGGGAGTGGGCAGCCTGTGCTGGACCCTGGTGGGCTTGTGTTCTGGATGTCACTATGGCACTTTGGTCCTCAACCCCCACCCCTACCCAGGAGTCTGAGGCCTCGGCCTTCCCTGGACTTGTTGGGCAGCAGAAGGCACCAAGGACAGGATGAGAACCCCTGAGGGGCAGCCCCACAAATGAGGGCACTCTGACCTGTCCTTCCATTGCCACCCCACCCAGGAATGGCCCTCAACTGGCCACAGCCACCAGGAAGCCCCAGGACTGCTCCCACACCACAGCGGTGCCCTCTTCTCTATCCCACCCTTGGGACCTACCCAGGGTTCTCCAGGCAGCCAGAGGCCAGCTCCAGGACAGGGCAGGAGAATGCAGATCTGGGTCTGGCATGTAACTGAGGGGGGGTGTGCTCCAGGGAAGTAAGGCAAATGGCCCAGGTGACGACCACCTGGGGTAGACCCAGAGTCTCCAGGGAATGGCTCGGGGGCAAACGCTGTGTTCTGTGTGTGCAGGATCTGCCCCCAGCAGCAGGAAGGGGGCAGAAGGGAGGCGAAGAGGAGGTACCCAGGACTTGTACCCTGGCTGCCAAGCAGGGTGGGGTGTTTTCATGAGGATTGCTTTTAACCAAAAGTCCTCAGCCTTCTGCAGACCCAGGGCAGAGGTGAGTTGCTCCAGATCATGTGCTTTAAGTAGAGCCCTTTACCAGCCAGGAGACCCAGCCACCCCCTTCCCCGCCCCGTGGCTGGGGGGACACAGAGTCACCTCAAGGCCCCAGCCCACTCAGCGCACAGTGCACACATCCAGGATGCAGAAGCGTGCGCGGCAGGTGGGGCAGGGCACGCGGCTGGCCAGCCAGGTGTCAGGGCGCAGGGGGTCCTGGCGGCTGGCGAACCACTTGCCCATGCAGGTGAGGCACCACATGGGGCGGCAGTAACACTGCTGGCACTCGCCTGCGGCTGCCTCCTGACAGGTCTTCACCAGCTTCACGCTGGCACGCGTCTGCATGCAGCCTATGCAGGCCTCCAGCTCCTGCGGGCAGGTGGAGCGTCACCAGGAGCCCAGGCAGACACCTGTGGGCACCCACCCATCCACCTGGCCCAGGCCCCCACCTGGCTGCTGGGCACTGAGTAGGCCGGGTTGACCTCTACCAGGGAGGCAAATGTCTCCAGGAACAGGTCGCCCAGGCTCTGGTGGATGACCACGTGGGCTGCCCTGCGGATGGGTGCCCGGAGTTTCTCGCAGAGCTCCCCGTACTCAGTGGAGTTCAGCCTGCAGGGAGGAGAGCTGCTGGGGCCCTCTGCAGGGCAAAGGGAGGGGGAAATGGAGGCCATACCCCAAGGAGTGACAGGGCAGCTGTCGCACCAGGACCAACCAGGAGAGATGGCCCTAAGGCCAGAGCCCAGGGACCCAGTGCCAGACGGCCCAACCTGGGCATGGGGCAGACCTAGGAGCAAGGCAGCTGTCCAGCCTGAGGGCTGCACTGTCCTGAGTGCTCCCCAAGAATCTGGGGGAGACGGCTCCAGGGAGAGTGGAAGGGGAGGCCAAGAGTGCAGGGGGGCCCGAAGGAGGGCTATGCGGGAGGGCTCAGTGACGGGTGTCTCGTGGACACCTTGCCTGGTGTCACACAAGTCCATGAGTGCTGGAGTCCACACCGGCTATGCCTAGCACCTCCCAGGGGTCATGGCGCCAGAGCCTGGCTCTGGCCTGCCGCGTGCCCTCTGCACCCCCGCAGGCACCACACTCTTACCGGATGTCAAAGGCCTGCACGGCAGGGTTGGCGCTGGCCACACGGATGGTGAGGAGCTGCACGGGCAGGTTCGAGTCTGGTGAGAGCTCGTGCTGCCGAGACTCCGTCACAGTCAGGTGCACGTCCTGCTGCTGGGCCACATGCACTCGGTAGGTGGTCACCTTCATCACCCACACGTCTGTCACAATCACACGGGCACCTGGTGCGCCGGTGGCAAACTTGTCAATCCGCCGGAACTCAGTGTTGATGGAGGAGGCAACAGCCTGCCAGCCCGACTGTGGGAGGGCATAGAGTGCCAGGGTGCGTGCCAGTGGGTGGCGGGCCCACCGGTCACGGGACCAGTAGTAGATCAGGATGCAGGCGACGGCGGGGAGGGTCACGGCCAGCAGCAGGAAGAGCCGCCAGGCGGGGGAGTGGAACCGCTTTTCTGAAGCCGCAAGGCACATGCCCACATAGTAGCCTGCAAAGGACAGGGTGAGCCTCAGGAGAAAGTGGGTGCCAGGCCGCTGTCCACCCCCACACAGCCCTGGGCCCGGCCCTCTGCCCGGGTTCCAGGGTCAGCTCCCAGGGTAAGTGGGTTTTACCCACTCTGCACTTCCCTAGCCAGCCCACTCTGTCCCTACCTGTAGCAATGGCAGGATATATTAGAGGAAAAGGTTTTTAATTTGCTGCTTTAGTTTCATACAATATGTAAATATTGAAAAAACTACAAAAGCCTAGAAAGAGAAAAATAAACACAATGAAGTGTCCCCTCAGGCAGAGCTGACCCCTGGCCTGCCCAGGGCAGCTGCCTGGACAGGATCTCAGTCTCTCAATCTCACCAGCTCTGAGAAGGCTGGTCAAACGTGGCCCATCCCAGAGCTGAGAAGTTGTGTGTGAGAAAGGAAGCAAGTGTCAAAGAATGATGGGACACGTCCAGAGGACACAAGGCCAGCTTCAGGGCCCTGCTGGCCAGATGGGGGACAATTTGAAGGTCCAAATAAGCAATGGAGACGGTGAGGAGTTGCACTAGCAGCTTCCAGTTGGCAAAAAGTAATAGTCCACATTTGGAGTTGGCCCAGTCACTGCATTTCAAGGTAATGTGACATATAACAATAGGTTACTGGGGCTGGGTGGCTCACGCCTGTAATCCCAGCACTTTGGGAGGCCCAGGCGGGCGGATCACAAGGTCAGGAGATTGACACCATCCTGGCTAACACGGTGAAACCCCGTCTCTACTAAAAAATACAAAAAAATTAGCCGGGCCTGGTGGCGGCGCCTGTAGTCCCAGCTACTCGGGAGGCTGAGGCAGGAGAATGGTGTGAACCCAGGAGACGAAGTTGCAGTGAGCCAAGATCGTGCCACTGCACTTCAGCCTGGGCGACAGAGTAAGACTCCGTCTCAAAAAAATAAATAGGCCGGACGCTGTGGCTCAAGCCTGTAATCCCAGCACTTTGGGAGGCCGAGATGGGAGGATCACAAGGTCAGGAGATCGAGACCATCCTGGCTAACACAGTGAAACCCCGTCTCTACTAAAAAATACAAAAAACTAGCTGGGCGCGGGGGCGGGGGCCTGTAGTCCCAGCTACTCGGGAGGCTGAGGCAGGAGAATGGCGTAAACCCGGGAGGCGGAGCTTGCAGTGAGCTGACATCCGGTCACTGCACTCCAGCCTGGGCGACAGAGCGAGACTCCGTCTCAAAAAAAAATAAATAAATAAAATAAATAAATAAATAGGTAACTAATACCTAATAAAGCTTGAAAACTTTCCAACTAAGTTAAAAATAAAAAGAGCTTGACATCCAGCTGTGAGGTCAGCTGTGCTGTCTGCTCCAGGTGTGGCCGCCATGATTCACTTGTGGTCCCTCACAGGCGTCTGGGGAGGGTGCAGTTGGAAGGGATACAGAAACCCACCCAGTAGCCCTCGAAAGCGGCCTGGTCAGGGCCCTAGCCCCACTCAGCCCCATCCATCTCCCAAGTGGGCCCCCAGCCCATCCTCTCCATGAGGCAGGCCTGGGCGTCTCCACCCCACACCTGCCTCCAGCTCCCCCGGGCCCGGGCAGCTGCATGCTCACACCGGGATGTGGAGGGTCACCCCTCTTGTTTCCCCAGAGCGGCAGACCTGGCCAGCCACTGGCCATTTGTCCTCCCAGAGCTGCGTCTGCCCCTGTGTCCTCCAGAGGTCCCCCCCTTGAAATCCCTTTCCAGCCACTGCACCCCCCATCTCCCACCTGTCTGTCATCCAACTGGCTGAGACGGGGACCTTCCAGAGCCCCAGTTACCACCTGGGGCCCAGCCCAACACCCCCCGGACAACTCTGAGGGTCCCACCTGCACAGAGGCCCTCCTCAGCCTCTGCCCCTGTGGCGCCCCCAAACTGGAACTGCCTCCAAATCCGCCCGTTCTCCCCACACCCACCTTCCAAGGCCTAGAGCAATGCCACCCTCCACACAATCCCTCCGACCCCTTCTGTCGGACTCAATCAACAGTTGCCTTCTCCTGGCCACTGCCCGCAACCACGACAAGCAAAGGCTGCTTGGCCTTGGAACCCCCAGGCATATGACGGTTCAGGACTTGGTGAGCCGGGGCATCCCCTGCCCAAGGTTCTGTACTTGGGTTCCCGTCACCTGCAAGCCAGCGCCGGCGGCGCCCCTAAGCGCGCTCAGCCCACGCCGCGGTCCCTCTGGATGAGGACCGGCGCCTCTCCCCAGCTGCGCCCAGGCGCTTTCGGGGCCTCGGCGAGCTGGCGGAGGCCTCCTCCTGACCTCCCAGCAAGCCCTGCGCAGGAGAGGACGCGGCTGGCCGGCCGGAGCAGCCTCACCGAGCGGCAGCAGCGAGTGGCACAACAGCGTGGCGGCCGTGCGGCGCAAGTGGAAGGGCACGAAGGCGGCGTCCTCGCTGCCCAGCCAGCCCGACAGCAGGTTCTGCACCGTGAGCCCCGCCGCGTGGAACTCGTTAGGCGTGAACACAAAGCACACGGCGAACACCAGATAGGCGAGAGTGAAGGTCACCTCGGGGCTGTCCATCGCGCCGCCGCCGGGAAGCTGTCCAGCGAGGACCCCGCCCCCGGCGCGGGGAAGAGGCCGCAGCGCCCAGACCCCGACCTGTCGGTTGCGGCAGCCGCCACCCGGCCGCCCGCGGGGCACTCTAGGAGATGGAGTCCCGCCGCCCGGCCGCCCGCGGGGCGCTCTGGGAGATGCAGTCCCCGTGAGGGTGCGGCCTCTCTTCAGGGCCCGCCCTGGAGGCGGCCCTGCACCTGGTCTCAATGCACAGCTGGGGAAAGTTAGGCCTGAGCCAGCGGCCCTCAGTCCCTGGCCACGAAGCCCCGCCCAGTAGCGTCAGCTGCAGAACCCGAAATTCGTGCGGCGACGGCGAGCCAGCGGTCTCAGCTTCAGACACCCCCGGCAGGCCCTCCACTCCGGAAACGGAACCGTCGGCGCACGGGGGGCGGGGCCGGCGAGACACAGCTTCCCATTGGACCCCCGCCCTCCTGCGGTCCCGCCCCCGGCCGCGTGCTGATTGGCCGCGCGAAGGCAACCGTCGGCGTTTGAAACTCGGGCGCGCCGGCGGCCATCAAGGGCTGGAAGCGCGGCAGCGGCAGTGACTAGGCTTGCCCCCGGCGCGGAGCAGACGCATATCCAGACCCCTCCTTCCTGGCGGCGGCGGCGCGGGCTCAGAGCCCGGCAACGGGCGGGCAGGCAGGTAGATGAGCGTCTACACGGCACGGGGAGGCTGGGGTCCCGGGGGCGCGAGGCCGTCCCGCCCCGCCCTCGGCCCTCGCCCTCCCGCTCTGGCCGCAGCTTTCCCCGGGAAGCGTCCCCCACGGCTCCTCCCCGGGCCGCCGGGGCCCGTCCCGCGCCCTGTCATGGGACCCGGCCCTAGACCGACCACCAGGCTGGGTCCCCTGGACGGTGGCCGGGGGCGGCTAGGGCTGGGCCGAGCCCGACGGCGGAGCGGGCGCCCTGAAGTGCTTTGTTCTCTTCGACCCTCTCCTGCCTCTCGGCCGCCCACCCTGGTTCTTTGTTGGCTCCCAGCTCGCAGACCCTCTTGTGGTTGTTTGGTCCCTTCCGGCCTCCGTCTTGGGGCCAACTCCATCTGGGCCACCTGCGGCGGACACCTGGGCCCCGACCGCTTCCCCGCACCTGCTGCGCCGCTCCATCTTCCCCCGCGCCGCATCCCACTTGTGCATCAGAGTAGCATCAAAGCACCGGCCTCGGGCCGGTCCCTTCTCTGCCCAGAGCCCCTCCCGGGGCTCCATAGTCGGTAAAGGCCCCTCCTGACCAAGGCTGGGTCTGCTGCTCTCCCGCACTCCTCCAGGCCGCCGGAAGGCTTCCTCCGAGTCACTTTCTCCCTGAGTTCCAGGCTTGCGTGTCCCCCAGCGATCCAGCTGCCCTTCCCCTGCCCTGTACCCAGTTATTCAGGCCAAAAACCTAAGCGTCGTAAGTCCTATATATGCCAGTGGCCAGGCCCGGGTCTGGTCTGGCCTCTACTCCTCGGGCTGCAGAAGCGTGTTTTCCCTCCTGCCCTTACTTCCCTACCCACACACAGCACCACAGTGGGCTTCTCAAGCTGCAGCACCGACCTGCCCGGGCTGCCCCTCTCTCTTCTCCAGGACCCTCCCCAACTTTGCTCTTCTTCAAATCAAAGCCTTCCCAGGTCCCCCACCACCAACAGGTGCCCGTGGGGTTCCTGCCCAGGTCGACACTCGGTTCTCTCTGGCAGCCTTTCTGCCTACGTCATTCCCTAGACTGGGAACGCTGTAGACAGAAAGGGTGGCAAGTGTGTGGGTGACTGGTGTGAGGACCTGGGCGGCCCTGGAACCTGGGACTGACTGGAGGCCCTGATATGGAAGCTCCTTGGCACCTGCTGCTCAGCTCTGGACGTCCCTTGTTCGCATACTGTCTCCCAGCTCCTCCTCTGGGCCTTCACCCCAGCCTGGTCTTGTCCCGCTGCCTAGCCCGGTGGGAGAAAGCAGACCAGAGCCGCTGTCCTGCTTTTCTGCCCTCTGCTGCCCGGTCCTGCCTCACGCCACACGCGGAGGCCGGTGGGGAGACCGCGGCTTCCTCTGGCTCTTCTGGGTTTCTTATAGGCCAGGGCTTTCCTGTCTCCTGACTTCTGCTTGACGTGGTAATACAACAGTAGAGATTATGCGGTCTTGGTTTTTCTTTCTCACCATCTTAGCCTGAAGGCCCTTTAGCTCTTAGTCCCAGGAGGCAGCAGTGCTGCCCATGGCTCCCGGTGCCAGGCTGGAGAGTGAGTCTCTGAAGCAGGATGGGGACTCAATCGGAGGCTTTCTCTGCCCCACTTGGCAGAGGACATGTGTGGGAGGTGTGAGCTCCAGAGCGATGAGCACACCTGTGCCGGAAGGGGTCGTGCTCCCTGCGGCAGCTGTCATGTCTGTGTCTGGACAACGTGGTTGTGTTGCCCTCACACTGACACAAACATGTTCTGCTTTTCCAGAATGAGTCTGCAGGTCTTAAACGACAAAAATGTCAGCAGTGAAAAAAGTACAGAAAATTGCGACTTCCTGTTTCCCTCACCAGAAGTTACCGGAAGATCGTCTGTTTTTCGTGTGTCACAGAAAGAAAATGTGCCACCCAAGAACGTGGCCAAAGCTATGAAGGTAAGTGTGACCTCTACAGTGTGTGGCTAGCCAGGTTGCCCTAGGACCTGCTTTCCTGGTGACCTCTGAGCTGCAGGACACTGCTGGTGTGGCTGTAACAGCTTGAACTAATGAATGGGTGCTCTCCTCCTCACTCCACAACAGGTGACTTTTCAGACACCTCTGCGGGATCCACAGACGCACAGGATCCTAAGTCCTAGCATGGCCAGCAAACTTGAGGCTCCTTTGGCTCAGGGTGATACCCTTGGACTGGAAAACTGTCACCCGGTGTGGACGCAGAAAGAGAAGTAAGTGTTCATGCTACTGGACATGCTGGAGCTTCACCCTCTCTGTCCGATGGCTCTTGCAGAAACGTGCTGTCCTGTTCTGTCAGGCCTTGGCTGGAATTTTTTTTTTTTTTTTTTTTTTTTTTTTTTGAGATGGAGTCTTGCTCTGTTGCCCAGGCTGGAGTGCAGTGGCACTATGTCCACTTACTGTAACCTCTACCCACCCCAGGTTCATGCCATTCTCCTGCCTCAGGCTCCCCGAGTAGCTGGGACTACAGGCGCCCGCCACCATGCCCGGCTAATTTTTTTGTATTTTTTAGTAGAGACGGGGTTTCACCGTGTTAGCGAGGATGGTCTCGATCGCCTGACCTTGTGATCCACCCGCCTCAGCCTCACAAAGTGCTGGGATTACAAGTGTGAGCCACCGTGCCTGGCCGGCCTTGGCTGGATTTCTCCTGAAATCTGCACTGAGTGTATGCAGCATGTGGCCAGTTCACTAACAGAAAAGTTGATCATCAGATACTTGGATAACTTCATACTTCACTCCCCCCCACCCCCGAGATGGAGTTTTGCTCTTGTTGCCCAGGCTGGAGTGCAGTGACACGATCTCTGCTCACTGCAACCTCCACCTCCCATGTCCAAGCGATTCTCCCACCCCAACCTCCCCAGTAGTTGGGATTACAGGTGCCCACCAACACCTGGCTAATTTTTGTATTTTTAGCAGAGATGAGGTTTCTTCATGTTGGCCAGGCTGGTCTCGAATTCCTGACCTCAGGTGGTCCACCTGCCTCAGCCTCCCAAAGTGCTGGGATTACAGGCATAAGCCATCGCGCCCAGCCCATACTTCACATTTTTGCTGTGCTTTTGCCAACCAATTGGCTTCGATCTTTGCTCCTCTAATTTGATGAAATGTCTTGGCCCCATCTCCAGGAAGGCAATCCATAGTTTCATTTATCTTGAATTCCGCCCACCCTATTAGGACTTGGAAAGAGCAGATAGACTTGTAGGCAAAGAAACCATGTTGTGTGATCCACCCCTCAGAGTGTGCATGGTTGGAGGGCTCTGCCAGGCGTTGGGTGTTGGGTTAGGCTTGGCATTGGCAGTCTGCTGGCCGACCTGATGCTTAACTGCAAGTGGATGGCAAGGCGGTGTCTGTCTTTGCCTGGAAAGGGAGGACCCTGGAAGCAGCTCTTTACTCTGTGGCTGAACTAATCTGTCTGGGCACCTGGGAACACCTCATCTGCATCCAGGGTGGGAAGGGACCCCAGAGGCATGATTTTCTGCTGGTTTTTGCTGATGTAACTGTTGTTGCTGTTTTGAGACAGGGTCTCGCTTTGTCACCCGGGGTGGAGTGCCATGGTGCCATCACAGCTCACCGCAACTTTCACCTCCTGGGCTCAAGCAGTCCTCCCACCTTGGCCTCCTTAGAAGCTGGGACTATAGTTGTGAGCCACCATGCCCGGCCAATTTTTTTTTTTTTTTTAAAAAGACGGAATTTTTCTTGTTGCCCAGGCTGGAGTGCAATGGCGCGATCTCAGCTCACCACAACCTCCACCTCCCGGGTTCAAACGATTCTCCTGCCTCAGCCTCCCGAGTAACTGGGATTACAGGCATGCACCACCACGCCCAGCTAATTTTTTGTATTTTTAGTAGAGACAGGGTTTCTGCACGTTGGTCAGGCTGGTCTCAAACTCCCGACCTCAAGTGATCTGCCCACCTCGGCCTTCTGAAGTGCTGGGATTACAGGCATGAGCCGCCACGCCCGACTGGCCCAAAACTTTTAAACAGATTTTAGGTGTGCGAAGAAGAGCATAAGGAACACAATACCACTAATGCTTCTCACTCCCTGAGATAAAATGTCACCAGTAAGTGCAGGCAGCATTTCCTATGTCCTTCTCTGGTCCCTGGGCCTGTCTCCCCTCCACCCCTCCAGCCTGAATTTGCAGTTCTTGCTATATCTGCTTGCTACTTTTCAAGTTGGTTTTTTGCCCCTTTTGAAATTTGGTCAAACAAAGTGAGAATGAATCAGACATTGGTTCACAACGACCCCAAGCAGGAGGGGAGGACCAGCAGCAGAGAAGTCGTCTCCCAGCTGCCATGGGTGTGATCCGTCCCAGAGCCACAGATGCCCTTGCCTCTGCCCTATGCCTCCAGGGCCACCCAGCAGCCTCCATAGGGCAGAGGGTGTAAAGGAGCTAGGAGGGGCTTGGGAGGGTGGCCCTGTGGGGCTCCAGCCAGAGTGACTCTGAGCTCGTGGCTTGGGCTCGTGATTGTCATCTCCCTTCTGGAATTCTGCTTTGGCCCAGGTGGTGGTTGCTGTGGTGCTCCCACGTCAGTGGGATGAGACCAAGAGCAGCCGCTGTGTGCAACTGCCCACGTATCATTCCAAGGACAGCTGAGTAGCCACCTGGGAGGGCAACTCCACCCTGAAGTGGCAGCTGGACAGCAGAGGAGTTGTGAACAGTCCGACAGGTCCCTAACCCTCAGTTTCTCAGTTTTGACATCTTCAAACTTAGAGAAGAGTTGGAAGAGAAGGGCAGGTAACAGGGGCCCC